ACGTGCGTCTGTGGCACTGCGTATAGGCTTCTCTTCCACACACGACAGCATGGAAGCGGCCGCGTACGCTTAGCCACACGACGGCAGCATCATCAATATTTCTCTTTGCTCATTGTTCTTGTACAATACCGGGAAGGCTGGTGCTGTCTCTGTAATGCCGGAGGGGCGAGAGGAATCCCGCCGCCGACTGGTAGAGCGCTTCGTCGGCTCAGGTAGCGATTACCGCGGAAATGGCTAATTTTAAGCCACCACGGTGGCGTATCAGGCAACCTGCGAGACGCAGTCACCGCCGCTACCGTCGTTCGTTTCGCAAGACACGTACGATACGATCGTTCTTTGTAAACTATGTTTCTATGGAATTTTTTACTTTTCGTTTCTTTCCTTTTTTTTTTTTTCTACACAATCCCCTCCCCCCTCCTCCCACACTCCCGCCCTTTGTTTTCTTAGCTTTTTCTTCGTTTTTCCTTCGTTTACCTTTCTTTTTTGTTTTTTTTTCTTTTTTTTTTTCTTTTTTTTTTTTTTGGCGAGAAACAAAGAATTGACGAACGAATTGACGTTTCGTCGTTTTATTAATATAGATAGAAAAAATCGAAATCGTAAGATCATTAAAACGTTCAAAAGAATGACGATATTCGTTCGTGAAGATTTTTATGTCGTTAGATGAACGTTCGTATATTGCAATTACTATAGGATTCCTTTGAATAGTCTACTTGTTCATTCTAATTCTCTTATTTCTCTTACTTAAGTTTTTTAATGAATTTTAAATACACATTAGAAAGATTTAAGTTGAGTATTTGCTAGAGCGGAAAAAAAATTAATTTCTCATCCGATTAAGTATGCGTAAATTAATACAAAACGAAATGTAAATAATTCACATATCTGATATGATAAGATTATTCGTTAAAAATTTCTACAAGAATGTTCGTATTTACGAATAAAGATTAAAAAATACGTAGATATATGTGCATATGTCTATATATTGTATCGGCTATATATCGTAAAAAAAAAAAAATATAAATTAGAGAGAAAAGAAAAGGATTTTGAAAGAATAAATAAAATAGTACGATAATTTATTTATCTTTTCGGAATTTATTTAGATACATATTCGATAAATTTGAAGAAAGAACGTCGTAACTTATTCTTTCGATAATCCGATTTCTTCGTTCGGACGACTCTGAGGG